AGGGTGGTAAGGTAGTCTTTGGTGATGATCGAGTTGGAATAATCATGGGTAACGACACAATAGGAAAAAGTCATTTTCCAACTATCAAAGTTGTTCTTTTTGTTAAAGGCTTAAAACATAATCTTCTTTCCATAAGTCAATTATGCAGTACTAAAAACAAGGTGGTTTTTGAATCTTCATGATGTCAAATCATCAGGATTAAAGATAACAAGCTATTATTCAGTGGGACTAAGAAAAATAACATGTATGTTGTTAACCTAAATTGTCTTAAAACATTTAATGAAACCTGTTTTCAAGATACTTCACATGAATTAGAAATGTTGTGGCATAGAAAATTATGACACATATGTCTTTCAAAACTGTCTAAAATGAAATCCACTAGAGGAATTCCTGTTTTAAAAGAAAATTCAAAGTTCTTTTGTGATGCATGTGTTGGTGGTAAAATGGCTAAAAAGAGTTTCAAGTCAGAAAGGGATATAACCACTACTGAACCATATGAGTTAATTCATATGGATCTCTTTGGACCTACAAATGTGGTAAGTCATATGCTTTTGTCTTGGTTGATGATTTCTCTAGATACACCTGGGTTTACCTTTTGGCTTCTAAGGATGAAGCCTTTGCTCATTTTAAAATGTTTGTGAATCTCATTTCAAATGAATCTGAAAAAGGTATTAAGTTCATTCAAAGTGATAATGGGGGGAATTTATATCTGAATAGTTTGGTGATTTATGCAACGATAGAGGGATAAATCATACATTCTCTACTCCTAGGACACCCCAGCAAAATGGTGTGGTAGAAAGAAAAAATAGAACCATAATAGAAACAGCTAGAATGATGCTTTTGGAGTATGGAACTCCAAAATTTCTTTGGGGAGAAGCTGTCATGACAGCTGTTTATACAATAAACAGAGTTCTAATCAGAAAAACCTTAAACAAAACACCTTATGAAATTCTAAAACAGAGAACACCAAACCTAGGATATTTTCATCCTTTTGGATGCAAATGTTTTATCCTAAACACTAAAGACCACATGTATAAGTTTGATGCAAAGTCTGATCAAGCCATCTTTCTGGGATACTCTATCAAAGGACAGGCCTACAGGATATACAATCTTAAATCTAAAAGAGTAGAGGAATCTGTTTTTGTCAAATTTGATGAATCAATGAATGCTGACAAAGTTAATGTAGAAAGTATAGATTTCTTATTCCCTATGACAAAGGAAGTGGAAGAAAATCCAGGAAGGGAAGAAACCTCACTGAGAGAAAAAGATAAAAAGGAAGACAGGAGTTCTGATGAAGAGAAGAATGCACCAGGATATATACAGAAAAGACACCCTCCATCCCAAATCATCAGAGGACTTCATGACAAAATGCACACCAGAGGTAAGTATAATCCAGGTCATTATGCTTTTATATCCTTACTAGAGCCTAAAAACTACAAAGAAGCTTTAACTGATGATGAATGGATATATGCTATGCAAGAAGAACTCATCCAATTTGCTAGACTAAAGGTCGAGGAATTAGTCCCTAGACCAATAGGCAAACTGATAATTGGTACAAAATGGGTATTTAGAAACAATACTGATGAACTTGGACAAGTAACAAAAAATAAAGCTAGGCTAGTAGCTCAAGGTTACTCTCAAGAAGAGGGAATTGACTTTGAAGAATCCTTTGCACCAGTTGCTCGCATTGAATCTATTAGACTATTATGTGCTTATGCAAGTTATATGAAAATTCCTCTGTTTCAAATGGATGTGAAAAGTGCTTTCTTAAACGGAGAAATTAAGGAAGAGGTATATGTAAGTCAACCACCAGGATGAATAAAGCACTTAGCACTATATGGATTAAAACATGCCCCAAGGGCATGGTTTGAAAAACTATCATCATTTCTCATAAGCAAGGGATTTACTCAAGGAAGTGTGGATAAAACTCTTTTCATTAAGAAAGAAAAATCAGACACCCTCATTGTACAAGTTTATGTTGACGACATAGTTTTTGGGGCTACAAATCCAGACACGTGCAAAGATTTTTGTGAATCCATGAAATATGTATTTGAAATGAGCATGATGGGAGAAGTGTCCTACTTTCTAGGATTACAAATTAAACAAACAAGCTCGGGAATTTTCATATCTCAAAGCAAATACATAGACTCCATGCTCAAAAGATTTGATTTAAACTCTGTTAGTCCAAGTACAACACCAATGGCTGCTAACTTGAAATTGGACAAAGATGAATCATGACTACCTGTGTGTGAAAGAAAATACAGGGGGATGATTGGTTCTCTTCTATATCTAACTGCCAGTAGACCAGATATCCAATATAGTGTGGTTTTATGTGCTAGATTTCAGTCAAACCAAAAGAGAGTCACTTTAAAGCTGTGAAACGAATTTTCATATATTTAAAAGGAACTACAGAAGTTGGCTTATGGTACCCTGTCACTGAGTCATTTGAACTTGTTGGATATACTAATTCTGATTTTGGAGGGAGTCTTGTAGATAGGAAAAGCACTTCTGGAACCATACAATTTCTTGGTCCAACACTTGTGTCTTGGTTTAGCAAGAAGCAAGGTGCAGTTGCTTTATCCCCTGCTGAAGCTAAATATATGGCAGCTGGAAGCTGTTGTGCTCAGATCATGTGGATGAAATCCCAGCTATTAGATTATGGTTTTGAGATAACAAACATTCCTGTTTGGTGTGATAATACAAGTGCAATTTGCATGACAAAAAATCATGTCCAACACTCCAGAACTAAGCATATTGAAATAAAATACCACTTCATTCGTGACTTAGTTCAAAATGGTAATGTACGTTTAGAATTTGTTTCAACTAAAGGCCAATTAGCATATATATACTCACTAAGCCTTTGCCTAGCGAACGCTTTCTGCAATTATGTACTGAAATTGGCTTAAAATCTAGCTGTCAAATTGAAAATCTAAAAAGTTAAACTTTTTATTGGTTCCTTTTTGCTCTAGGGATTGCTTGTCTTGATTTATGCATTCTCTCTGCTTTCTAGCTCTTATCTGCTTGTTTTCAAGGCGAAATATGTGCATGCTGAAATGATTATGAAGCTGCCGACGTTACATCTTCCTCTCCTCTTTAGTTCGAATATGCCTATTTAAACAACCCTGTGCAACACCTTCTTTTCTCACCTCACCAAAACCCTCAACTTATCTCACACAAAAACACCATGAGTGATCACCTTCCCAGGCCATTTCTTTTTGATGGTCTTGTCCACACCTTCCCTGGCTACATGTTTCATGAGCCAGTTGCCATCAATAACCATTGCCATCTCCGTCATTTCGAAAATAGGAGGCTCCACCACATCACTCAGTTAGATCCCTATGAGTTCAAGATTTATAACCTTGAAATCGTGTCTCTAATAGAAGGGCTGGGCTGGGACTATCTGCTGAGGCAGCCACTGCACCCTGCTTGTCCTGGTGCAGTTAAGTATTTCTATTCAAATCCCCGCTCTCAAGGAGTCAGCTCCAGGTGCTTCACTACTGTTGTGTATGGTCACCTTCTAACCATATCAGTCGAAGCACTGAATGCCATCCTTGGTTTTCCTTCACAAGGAAGGGATATTGCTCATCCTAGCGAGTTCTAGAAGGAGGAATTCAACCTCTGTGATGAGTATCGCAACTTCTCAACAGAACCAACTGGTGGTTCAGATGTCCCCATCCCTGTTGACTGTCTTCCTCCTAGACTCAGAGTGTTTCATCATTTCCTGACCCATGTATTCTTCCCCCGTTCCTTCAACATTGACCGAGTCTTGCCTATGGACCTCTGGATCATTGCCAGTTGGAGATTAAAATTATCAGGGTATGCTTCCTTTTGGATCAATCATCACTAGGCTGCTCATCAACCTCGGGGTTGATCTTTCAGATTTTAGAAGCGTGTCTTCTACAATGTTTATGAGTGCATTGAATGTACTCATGATACTGAATCTTCCTACTGAGATTCCTTTCCCTCCTCAACCTTCAGCCTCTCTTCTAGGTCCTCGCACCAAGCCATCCTCTTCTAAGAAGGCCAAATCTGCTGGTGAAACCAGCAAAGCTGGTGATTTGGTTTTCACTATCTCTGAAGGGAGCTCTTCCTCGGATGACTCAGCAGCCTCTGCTCCCGCTCCTTAGAGTTGTCTTTCCCAGGGGGAATTTGCTTCAACTGTTGTTTCTCTTATTTCTGCAAGTAGGGTATTTATCTTTTGTAATGAAGTCCTCTTGGACTTAGCTTAGTTTAGGATTCTTAGATGTAGGGGGAATCCTCTTTTCTTCAACATGCTCTTTTTAGAGTGATGTTTCCTATGTTGTAACCCTACCAGCTTCTAATGCAACTTTCTTTGTTTTCGAGTACTGGTCTTTGTGGTTTGCTTGCTCTTTCTTTGCTTGCAGGTCAGACTTCTTGGACGAAGGGGGGAATTGTTGTATACCAGAGCAGTGCTTCCTCATCGAGAAGCTAAGACAACATCGGATTAGCCAAAGTGGTGTGTTCTTCACAAAGAGCAACACACAGCGCTTCTGCACCATACTGTGTCGTCTCAAGGAGATCGTCCATCAAAGTCTTCCATCGAGGATGTTCTCCTCGGATCCTCGACATTCTTCCTCGACAACCTCTTCGACCCTTCATCTACTCAACAGTCTCCTCGTGCTCCATCAAGGGCGGTGCCTCAAGCCTACCTCAGGATCATGATGACCTGAAGATGACCGTTCTGGTCAAATCCTCTCGCAAGAAGCCAACAGGTCCTTGCAACGGTCCTTAATCCCTCTCACCTATAAATTCTAGGGTTTGTAATTCAATTGCGACTTGGCAGTCTGTAGTAGAAGAATAGAGAAGTGTCTTCTGTTACTTTGGGTCATGTTCCTACTTCCGTAGAACAAATCACAGTGTTTGAGTACTGGGTGATTTGTTCTTGGAAAGTCTGTTTGAGTGTTTTAGTTTCTCCAAAGGGCCAATTCGTTGGCTTGGCTCTTGTTCGAAATTCTGTTGTGTATCTTCTTTGAAAAATAAATAAAATTGTCTTTTTCTTAGAAGCTGTTCAGTTGAGAGTGTTGGCCATTCTAAATTCACAGACAATTCAAAAAATAGGAGACTTTCCTAGTCAGATGATGTACTGGCTCCCCTCAGTACCTGACAGTTTTGAGTGCTGGAGAATTAAGGAAAAGACAAAAGACTGGGAAAAAAACCTAACAAAGACTTAGGAAACTTGTTAATAGAAGACATCCATTGCTGGCCCCTTTGCTGCTCCAACGCTCCACCTCGTCCTGCATCAATCAACTCTCATGTAAGCCGAGGACGTTTGCTTGAGGAGGCCTCAGGGGTTTCTTGATTCTCCGTATGCCGAAGATCAATAAAAATATTGGTCAATTCGGCTATACGGTACACCGGCAAATAAGCGCACTGGTCCTCCTTAACATAAACCACCATATCCATCCCAACCTTTCAAGAAAGGTGGTCACAAAGATGGCATAGGGAAAGGCAGTATACCAATTTTCCCCTCTAGGAGCAACCTCAACCATATTCAGGCACATGAGAGATGCGAGGTTAACAGGAACACCTCTTTGAGCTTGCACGATAAACAATTCAAGTTTACGAATAATCAAATGACCACGGTACCTTAGCAGGAAGCAGTTGACGATCAACCAGTGGAGGAATGAAAGAGGATCTGGGAGGAAAGAAGCCTGGATGCGCCCCTTTGTGAGTTTTTCCAGTTCAACTTCAAACTCAAAATCGTACAGCCGCCCAAGATCGCTTCTGCTCTCAATGGGGTGTCCTCCGGCGGGAAGATCAAGGATCTCAACAAACCGATGAGGCTGGAAACAGACTCTATGTCCCAGGAAGATCGACACGAGATGAGAATCATAGGGACCAGAAAGCTGTAGATTGTGGTAGAACTTCCTCACCACATGGGGGCAGTAACTGGTGCTTCCTCGACTCCGGAGATCAAAGAACTTTTCCCAACCAAGATTTTTTATTAACGTCTTCTACCGAAGTAGGAACATGACCCAAAGTAACAGAAGACACTTCTTTATTCTTCTACTATAGACTGCCAAGTCGCAATTGAATTACAAACCCTAGAATTTATAGGTGAGAGGACTTAATGACCGTTATAAGGACCTGTTGGCTTCTTGCGAGAGGATTTGATCAGAACGGTCATCTTCAGGTCATCCTGATCTTGAGGTAGGCTTGAGGCACCGCCCTTGATGGAGCACGAGGAGACTGTCGAGCAGATGAAGGGTCGAAGAGGTTGTCGAGGAAGAATGTTGAGGATCTGAGGAGAAGATCCTCGATGGAAGACTTTGATGGACGATCTCCTTGAGACGACGTAGTATGGTTCAGAAGCGCTGTGTGTTGCTCTTTGTGAAGAACGCACATCTTTGGCTAATCCGACGTCATCTTAGCTTCTCGATGAGGAAGACTGCTCTGGTATACAACAATTTCCCCCTTCGTCCAATAAGTCTGACCTGCAAGCAAAGAAAGAGCAAGCAAACCACAAAGACCAGTACTCGAAAACAAAGAAAATTGCATTAGAAGCTAGTAGGGTTACAGCATAGGAAACATCACTCTAAAAAGAGCATGTTGAACAAAAGAGGATTCCCCCTACATCTAAGAATCCTCAACTAAGCTAAGTCTGGGAGGACTTCATTACAAAAGATAAATACCCTAGTTGCAGAAATAAGAGAAACAACAGTTGAAGCAGATTCCCCCTAGGAAAGACAACTCTAAGGAGCGGGAGCAGAGGCTGCTAAGTCATCCGAGGAAGAGCTCCCGTCAGAGATAGTGAAAACCAAATCACCAGCTTTGCTGGTTTCCCCAGCAGATTTGGCCTTCTTAGAAGAGGATGGCTTGGGGGGAGGACCAAGAAGAGAGGCTGAAGGTTGAGGAGGGAAAGGAATCTCAGTGGGAAGATTTAGTATCATGAGTACATTCAATGCACTCACATACATTGTAGAAGACACGCTTCTTAAATTTGAAAGATCAACCCCGAGGTTGATGAGTAGCCTAGTGATGATTGATCCAAAAGGAAGCATACCCTGATAATTTTCATCTCCAACTGGCGATGATCCAGAGGTCCATAGGCAAGACTCGGTCAATGGCCTTCTTAATGGTAATACATGCTCATCAATGCCTGGATTCCGTCAAACATTCCATACTCAGCTGTGTTGGTTTCTTATGCTAATGTTCCTGTTATGTGCAGCCATCTCCAGCGGTATCAAGTACCTCCTCAAAACTTCAAGCCAGGTACAGTGCAGAATACACACAGTGGTTTCCTGCTTTGCTTGATTGGTTGTGAAGCCAAATTTTCATTCTTGGACGAGTGGTAAATCATTAGCTGTAACATAACAATGTACATTTGATGGTTAAATACAGGGAGCTGCAACTCAACTATATATGGCTCTTCATCCGCAAGTGAAAGGTGTATCAGGGGAATACTTCTAGAACAGCAACATATCCAAACCAGGTACTGGCGTACTGCTCCTGCTCAAGATGATGAGTTGGCTAAACAGCTCTGGGATTTCAGCATGAAGTTGATCAAGACCCAGTAGATCTTTTACTTTATTGTTGTCGTCGTTGTTGTCATTGTTGTCGTTTGTTGGAGTTACAACGTTTTAGTGTGCTAGTCAGATAGTGTGTTCTGCCAAGGGATGTAACGTAGGTGTGTAACTTGTTGTGGAAGGTGGTTTTATTTGCTTTAAGGTATTACAAGAGTTCAATGTGAAAGGTATTTAACAAAGAAGAAAGAGCTTTGAAATTTTTCAACAAAGTTCAATTGTTAGTCACTTAAAGTGAAATTTGTGGTGATATCTTTCACGTTGAATAATCAGTCGGAGATGGGAAGCTTGTTTTGGCTTGTGGCAAACTGTCAAAAGACAATTCAGCCAAAACATGAAGTCTTAATCAAATCAACATTTCCATCATCGAGTAATATTTTTCTCCTGAAAGAAAACGATGTCTGTTTTGTTCTTTCGATGAACAACCTTAAAGGGATCAACTTTTGCACTTCAAGACATTTTGAATCATTCAACGGTCTACATGTAACATCAGTAACAAACTAGAAATATGAAGGAAGAGTTGGCCGAAACGTAAGAGATTAAGGAATTTGAATCTCGGTGGCCAAACAGTAAGAGATGGTCTGAATCTCATGTTTTGGATTGAATTAGATATGCTTAGTAAGAAATCCCCCCTAGTTGAAGATCAGGTTAAGATTTAGTGCGCTGATAATAATAGTAGCAGCGGGACATGTAACTAGCAAACCCAGGACCTCAGCAGAGAACAAAGAACTAGAATGAAAGAGCTGCACCATTTATTCGGCGAAATAGCTAACTTAAATGACAACCAAACCATACACAACATCTGGAGACGAAGCAACAAAAAAATGTATATGTAAATTGTGCAAGAAAGCCATGGAAAGTAGCTGTGGAATTCAACCAAATATGACTAGAAAAGTTGCACTCATAAAATTGCAATGCTCAAATAGAACAGTAAAAACATCTTCTACTGTTCCATTCCATATGTGAGCATGTATATATGAAGTTTTGTAAAGACTAAAGACATGGGAAGTAAGATTCCACCAAATATGACTAGAAAGCAGCATTTAGCAAAAAGGGTTTATCAAATCCAAGCTGAAATCCCAAAGCTTCTTTGCCAATTCTTCATCTTTAGCCTGAGAGTTTGTTTTGTGTACGTTGCTGTCACTGAAGTATTCTCCAGTCACCCCCTTCACTTTTGGATGCAGTGCCACATAGCATGTAGTAGCAGCTCCCTGCAAAACCATGATAATACTACAAATTTCAGCAAAATAGTTTGAGTTACCCTTGCTGATCACTAATCAGACAGAAGAAATGCTTACCTGCTGAACATTTTTCAGCACAAATCTACTGATGGCATTTGTAATGGCTGTGCGAAGAGAAAAATGGAACTTGTTAGGGAGGGTTCGAACTCGAATGATGAATCCATGACCATAATGTTTTATTAAGTTAAAGAAAGCCAAGACAAGATCCATGGAGTACCAACTTGCAATAACACCAGTATGACGATAAAGGTTTGTAGCAATGACTCCAGGGTGAAGTGAGTTGGCAGTTATGTTATTTCCCTCTTCCTGGTTGAACAGAGAAAACTGGAATCAGACATGCAGCAAGAATTAAGGAACCCACCTAATGTTAAGTGCTTAGCTTGCTGATTATCAGTGAAAATTTAAGAATTTCACTTATTTTTAAGTTCTGTGATTTATGAACTGTGCATGTTATCAAGATAAAGGTTGGAAATGACCAGAAAGCTTTTCGATTACCTTAAGGCGCCTAGCAAGCTCATTAGCGTGAAGAATGTTCGCAAGTTTTGCCTGTCCATAAGCACGAACGTTGTTGTATCTGGAAATGAGCGAACAGATGACAGAAATCAAGGAGTTGTCAAAACAAACAGAAGGTAGTAATAAGGCAGTTAAGAAGAATCAGTTACTCGGCTTCGTTGTTAATCTTGTCGAAACGAATTCCTTCCTTGTAAGACAAACGGTGACCTTCAGATGATACAATAATAATCCTTCCTTCTTGATTACTCTCACGAGCAGTGGATTTCATTGTATCCAACAAAAGATGTGTCAAAAGAAAATGTCCTGGCAAACACTTGAACTTTCTCCTCTCAGTTTTGTCCTTCCAGTTACCTTATATAATCCAAATGCACAAAAAAAGCAAGTGGTCTGAACGAACTTACCAACGTGGTTGGTAGCAAACTGTAACTCTATTTTGTCCGTGGAGAGCATGTAAGGACACATCATAATGCCTGCATTATTACTGTCATCAAAGCAAAGAATCATCACTCTCGGCCAATACCATTTCCTTCAGAGACACTTCCATAAAAGAGTCACAGTAAAACCAAATTGATCACGAGTCTCTTTACATCAGAAGGTTCAGTGGAAGGCCTGAAGAAACATATTCTGACGCAAATTTCTTGACTGATGCCATTGAACTGAGATCCAACTGCATAATATCAACCTTAGCAGTTGGGATTTCCTTCAGGATTGCTTCCTTAACACTCCTGCCAGCATCAACATTCCTTACAGCCATAACCACATGAGCACCTCGCAGAGCAAGGACTCTTGCTGTCTCCACCCCAATCCCACTTGATGAACCTGAACAAATATTCAGGAATCAATGCCCTAGATTTCTACTCTCAAACCCTAGGTAATTTTTCAATCAGCCAGTCGGAATTCAGACTCCTCTCCCACAAACTAGTGGTGGAAATCAACTGACAGACAATTAAGACTCCCCAGATTCACAGTGACTGTATGGAAATAACAAAAGACTGTATGGAGATAACAAAAGATCTCTCATCCAAATTGGGGTTTAATTCAGCGACTGAAGTAAAAGACTACTAATTGAGGAAAGATTATGCATGAAGCTACCAGCCTACCATCAATTCAAGTATCTTTTTTTCCCATCAATCAAACAGAACCAAGCAGAAAACAAGTCAAACCCAGATGAAAGGAAGTCAATACCTGTGACGATAGCTGTGAGGCCAGTTGCATCAACTCCATTAGTAACTGCCTCAGCCGTGGAACAAGAGGAAAACCCAGATGCTCCCTTCAAACCAAAAATCAACATCTTCCTTCTCGGCAAAGCAAAAAAGAGAGCGATCAACAACAGCCACAGAAACTAAAAACACCTGCAATGACCTATCAGTAGACAGACAACAATTTCTGATATTTGCTCAAGAGATGGGCTCCTCTTAAAATGCTTCTCTTAGCTTGTTGGCTAAGATAAACGGAGAAGATGATGACAAACGGAAGAATCAGAAACCCATATGAAATGACGCCCTTGGATGGAAGAAGATTGGTCCGGTGAAGCTTTACTCTGTTTAATAATTGTGTTGTTAATGTTGTTGTTGTTGTTGTTGTGATTATTATACTCCTACTTTGGGTTGCAGCGAAATTGCTCTCAGCCATTATATATTCTTTCTCTTTTCGCTGTGCCTCGCTGTGGTGAGCGTTTGTGGTTGCAAATGATGATTACTGCTTCCCCTTTTGTTTTTGGCAACAAATATCAAAATTGCTCCAACTCGTTGTAACGTTGTATGCAAAACATGCAATTTTAGAATACACAAAAAATCTCATTTAGTGACGTATTACACGATTATTTCCTTCTTTTCTTGTTCTTTTATAAATAGAAGAACGTCTATTTTTCTAAAGTTCAGTCATTGCTAGCATTTCTTTGAATTTTTCCCATAAATATTGTATTTTAAAAAAAATAGTACCCAAACTACTGCAAATACGACAATAATTCCCAATCTACTGTGGTAAAAGGCAAATTCAAGCGTGCACGCTCGAATTGGATTTTAAAGAAGTAAAAAAAAAAGTCTAATTAGGACACGCGCGTCTCGATTGGGTTATTCTTTTGCCTTTCTGGAATATAAGCAATTTAAATTTTAGATCTTACAATATTATGTATGGCTATACCCCTAATATTACGTTTGGATTTCATTTATATCTACATATAAGTTGTTCAGTTGACGATTTTATCCTAACTAATATTGGTAAATATTCACTATAGTTGTATTTTTGTCATCCTTAATGATGAATGGTATACTACATATTTTCATCTTAAAAGTTAAATTGGGTATTAAATATAATTTTATTCAATAATGAAAAATTTTGGATTAATATATTTGTATGGCCCGAACTTTTCACATATTAAACATCCTGACCAATCTTTTCGATTTATAACTTCATAGCCTCAACTATGCATCAAAGTTACAAAATTAGCCAAACCCGAGATTTGACCGTTATCTTGGACGGTCAAGCACTTGGACTAACAGTCAAAGCACCACGTCACTGCCAAGTCAGCACAGACCACTTAAAAAATTTAGTTATTTTCCAACTATTATCATTTATCTTTTTTATTTTGAACAAAAGAAGAATAAAAAAGGAAAAGAAATTAAAAATATCGGGTCCATTTCATTAATATTTTTTATTTTTAAAGTGGTATGTGCTGATTTGGCAGGTGTGTTGACTGTTAGTCAACGCATTTTGCTGTTAGTCAACATATTTGACCGTACACGATAATTGTCAAATCTCAGGTTTGGCCAATTTGGTAACTTTGATGCATAGTTGTGGCAACAAAATTATAAGATTGACTAGAATGTTTAATACGTGAAAAGTTTGGGCCATACAAATATATTAACTCTAAAAAGTTCGTCCTCCAATAATATATGGTAGAGTTTTGTGTACTTTTCTTCATTTCAAATTTCCTGCAACGAGAGTAAAAGTAGGAAGGACAATTTGGTTTTTACAATTAATTAATTATTTCATATAAAAATATCAATAACAAGGTTTAACTCGGGTTTGAGATTCTGGGATTGCCAAGTTCTAATGGCATTGAATACTAGTTTTATCACGGTTTGTCGATAAAACAATTTTTTTTATTATGGATTTGAGTTTGTTATTCTTAGGGATGACAATGAGTCAGGTCGGGGACGGATAGTGCATATCCGTTACCCTACCCAAAGTAGTTCGGGTTTTACCCATGCTCATACCCACATGTGAAACGGGTAGAAAATCAAAACCATGCCCATACCCGTTCGGATTTCGCATATCCACGGTTATCCATGAGTAATAATTTCTCTTCATAACTCCAACCAATATGTTAACATCATACGTATTCTCACATTACGTAAGAGGAAAAGTACGACAATACTTCACCAGAATGAAGAAAATTAATTAAAACAACACAATTTCATGAAAATATTATATTTATATGATAAATATAAAATATGTTAGAGAAAAATAATGATTATTTCTAGACAAAATACATGTGCATGTGTATAATCGGGAGGGTTCGGGTAGGATAGTGAGAAACCCATACTCACCCATTACCCGCAATATTCGGGTTCGGGTTTTACCCATACCCACTAAATGTCCTTCGGGTTTGGGTTTTACCCTACCCGATTAGGCCGTATTCGGGCGGATATCCACGGTTACGGATATTTTTGTCATCCCTAATTATTCTGAAATATTATTATGTTACGTCTGGATATTAGTTATGAAATGTATGAATATTAATCTGCGTTGTCTGGATATTATGCTCTCATATTAGTTTTGTATGGTCCAATGTTACTTAAGTGAGTCTGGATATAACACAACCAAATATTCGATCGTCCTAAACTAATATCAGCATAGTTTAATAAAGACATGGATACTGGGTTGGTGAAGGATGGATATTGAACACAGAATAATAGTTCATTTCAACGATGATACTAGTAAGTAAATAAATAAGGATAAGACTCCCCCACAACATGGATACAGTTTCACCGGTGTTATCGTCATCATCCGACTCTGAATTGGAAATGAAAAACAACTCAACACAGACATCAAGGAACATCGCCACAAACCAATCCATGTAAAAGCCACAAACCTTGTCATACACGTCTACATAGACACCCTTATAATATACATTCATTGCAAAACTAATATCTAATAGTTGTACCCTAAACCGTGAACCCTAAACAAAAAAAAAAACTAAACCCTAATCACTAAACTCTAAAAAATAAAAACTATTATTGTTTGCCCAAGCCGAGAATATTCAAGGGTTCCACACAAATATCCAAACACATGAACTAAAGGAATATTTCCTTAGGTTCAAATAAATATCCACACAACCCAGAAACATATCCCAATATTTCAGAGAAAAATCTTATGATCAATAAAAGATATTACAACTAAGAATGACAAATTTCCACAACACGCTAACTAATATCTAATAGTTGTACCCAAAACCCGAACCCTGAACCCTAAACAAACAAAAATAAACCCTAAACTCTAAAACCATAATCACTAAACTCTTAAAACTAAACCATTAAACCCTAAATCCTAAACCTTAACACAAACCCTACAGAATAATATCCAAACGTCTCAGACAATATCTAGTGACACCTAAATAATATTGTAAATAAAACAGACTAATATCCACCACACACTGACTAATATCTGATAGTTGTACACTAATCCAAATAGTTACCAAAAGTGCTAGATGCTTAAATAAATGTTGGACAACATCTTAATAGTTACCAAAAGTACCCCATTAGAATATCCAAACGTCCAAAAAAATTTCCGAAAACATAAACTAATATCACTTCAAACCAAAGCTAGACCCTAAACTCTTAACCCTCTTCCCAACACAAACCCTAAACCATAAAAACTATTATTATTTAATGGGCAGTTACCAAAATTGCCCCATTAGAATATCCAAACGTCCCATTCAAATATACAAAAACATGAACTAATATCAATTCAAACCAAAACTAAACCATTAAACCCTCAACCCTAAACCTTAAACCTTTACACAAACCCTACAGACCAATATCCAAACATCTCAGACCAATATCTAGTGACACCTAAATAATATTGTAAATATAACTGACTAATATCTGCTAGTTTTACACTAATCCAAATAGTTACCAAAAGTGTTAAATGCTTAAATAAATGTTGGACAACATCTTAATAGTTACCAAAAGTATCCCATTAGAAGATCCTAACGTTCAAGAAAATTTCAGAAAACATGAACTAATATCACTTCAAACCAAAGCTAGACCCTAAACCCTTAACCCTCTTCCCTAACACAAACCTTTAACCATAAAAACTATTATTATTTAATGGGCAGTTATCAAAAGTGCCCCATTAGAATATCCAAACGTCCAAGAAAATTCCCGAAAACATGGACTAATATCACTTCAAACCAAAGCTAGACCCTAAACCCTTAACCCTCTTCCCAACACAAACCCTAAACCATAAAAACTATTATTATTTAATGGGCATTTACCAAAAGTGCCCCATTAGAATATCCAAACGTCTCAGTCAAATATAGAAAAACATGAACTAATATCAATTCAAACCAAAACTAAACCCTCAAAACTAAACCATTAAACTCTAAACACTAAACCTTAACACAAATCCTACAAAACAATATCCAATCGTCTCAGACCAATATCTAGTGACACCTAAATAATATTGTAAATATAACAGACTAATATCCACCACACACTAAATAATATCCACCATATACTGACTAATATCCACCACACACGGACTAATATATGATGAGCACTTCTACTATGCTATATAGTATTGGTGCTTTAATGTACAATTTGAAGTTGTACCATAACATTAAATGTATAAGTTTAGGTTGTACCATAAAAGAATTTGTATCTTTATGTTATGGTACAACTTTACAACTTGAAGTTGTACCATCACATAAAGGTACAAGTTCAAGTTGTACCATAAAAGAATTTGTACAAAAAGTATAGGTACAACCTGAAGTTGTACCATAATATAAATGTACAATTTCAACCTGTACCATAAAGGCAAAAACCTATAGCACCAATACTATATAGCATTGTAAAATTCCTCATATATGATAGTTGTGCACTAATCCAAATAGTTACGAAAAGTGCTTTTTTAAATAAATGCTGGAAAACATCTTAATAGTTACCAAAAGTGCCATATTAGAATATCCAAAAATCCAAGAAAATTTCCGAAAACATGAACCAATATCACTTCCTAGTGTGTTTAATTTGATGTAAGAAACAATATTCCAGTCCTTCACAAATTGAAAACCCGAACCCTAAACCCTAAAACTTAAACTCTAAAGTGGTGTAGTCGGTTTCGGGTGGTTGGGTTATTTTGGGGTTTGGTAAATATTAGTTTAATGATAGATATTGGTTTGCGAAGGAAGAATACTAGTTCATTTCAATAATAATGCAAAGTAATATCAACACAACACAGAATAATATCGACTGAAAACAAATAAATATCCACACAAACAAACATACATAAATATCACATGGCATGCGGGCTCGCAATTTTCGTTCTCTCTTTCCACTCCTCTCTAAAATCCCGTCCAAAGGACCCACAAAGCCACTTCCTCGGCTCGCCTTTTATGTCGCACGTTACCCCGAAGCCCATCTCCCGCTCACTTAAGTGAGCCACCAAAGAAGTCCACCTCTCCTCCGTTGGATGAAACATGGGCCGGCGTGGCTGAAAATCCGGCACTAACTACTCGGTATCGGTGTGGGAGAGGGTTTTAAGAAAATCGATAACGGAAAACCCTTCTTCTCCGCTTGCATTACTGCAACTCCCTCCTTTCGCGAGTATTTCGCCTTCCCGATTGTGGCCTCTTCACCATGGAAGAGGAGCCCAGTATCCTCGAAGCCTTACTCGACGATGGAGAAGAAGACATCGAGATGGTCGACGTCGAAGAGGGCCAACTCTTCGAACCAACTACCGACGCCACCGCCCAAACCTCCGGCGAGGCTAACTACAATGGCGGCGGAGGCGGAGAGTCTCTTGACACCGCTATGAATCCGGGTAAAAAGAAGAGGAAGAAGAATAGGAAGAACAAGAAGAAGAAGCAGCAGCCCAGCAGTGGTCCGGTTCCTCCCGTGGAAATAAATAGGTACGAAGAATTGGGAAACGGAAATGCTCAATTGGGTTTAGCTTAGTTTCATTCGGATGCATTTTCCCTGTTACCCTAATCTCTGGTGGGTGTTATCTATTTGTGATTGCAGGTTTGTGATAGATACGTGTAGGCGTCTGAAAGAGAAGAAATCGTACTTGATCTACTCTGCTGTGGGGACTCTTGGTGTTGAGGCCTTGAGTGATCTGGTCAGAGAGGTTTGTTTTCTTCATCAAGACGTTCACTTACTGATTCCCCTTTCATCTTGTACGGTGTTAATCCTTGTGAGGTTAATGAATCAGTTTTGTCTGCTACCTGCTATAGAGCCTCTATGCCGTTTCTGCATTTGAGTCCTTGTTTGGAGAAGTTGGCCAGTTTTGTGCTTTATAGGTAGGTCATTCATTACTTGTTCTTCTGCTCAGTTTATCCATCCAAATACCTTTATTCAAGTAAAAGTCAACGATCCTGTTCCTTGTGATGTGCCCATCTCTCAGCATCCTTCATGCTAGTACCTTGATGTGCTTGATGATCATAATGAAGTGATAATCTGGATCATGAGATGTTTTGGGCTTGGATTAGGATGCCTGATGCTTACTGTTCTATTAAAGAAAAGCTCCTCATTGCTGCATGATGATGTATGTTGTCTCTCGATGCTTTCCAGACTTTCGTTACTGGAAGTCTATTTTGGTGCTGCGAATTATGTGCTCTGAGATGAGCAATTCCCTGTCTACTCTTCTCCTTTGTGTAGGTTTCTTTGTTCTTTTTTCTAGTCTTGGGTTTTTATGCATGGCCATTTCCTCACTCTGTTTCTCTTGCCCTCCTAGTACTCCCCTTTCTCTGTGCTCCTACTATATTAGTTTGGTTGTCATAAATATGCTGAAATATGCAATGAAATTCAGGTGGATGCTATTCAGTCATGTGGGGGACAGATGACTGCAGATGGCAAGCGTTCTCGAACTGGCGGTGGGATATTATGGAACATCTTAAAGGCGAGAGAACCTGCAGCATACAGAGAAATTATGAAACAAGCAAAGGCGTTTGAGGTGTGTGGTTCCGTAGTTTTCTGTTAAACGTCTTTTGCTTCTTTAAGCAACTTGTGGGGATTTCCATTGTGTGACCGTCAGCTGTGGTGGTGGTGGTCTATTGAGCTTTCTCTCTATGTCATAAATCGTAATGCTAACTGATTTTCTCTCCTTGGTGTTCTTCTTTCAGAAGCAATTATTTAAGCAACAGAAGATGATGATGCGATCAGCTAATGCAGAAACTGTAGTAGGGTTGTGTAATGAAACTGCAAATGCAATCACTGAGGACGCGACTCCAACAAAATTTGGCGAGCTTGTGCCTGAAAGCCAACAACTTGTAAAGGACAATGGTGAGATGAAGCGCGGTTCGGTTCATGATAGGATTAGGGTGCCTGTTTCATATGAGGATTTGATTCAGGATGAACCAGAGGACAGTTGCTCATAGCTTCTTTGGCGTGGAAGGTGTGTAAATACTTGGTCAAAAGAACAGCTACTTTGTGGGGTGGGGGGTTCAATTCTTGCTTTCTGACTGAATGTCTTTTGAACTGTCATAGTCCCCAATGGAATGCAATGGGTTATGTGGGAGTTCTGGTATGTTTTATCCTGTATTTTGCCTTTTAATTTCACATGAAGTCCATCTTAAGAGATAAACTTGGATTCTTATGAATACTTGACAAATTTAATTGAATGAAGAAGAAAGGTACAAGTGAATGTGGTAAATTTCGAATGCCAGCAAGGATGTAAATGAAGAGGTGGACAACTACAAGGTTGGGAACCTTGTGAAGTTCTCTGCTCGTGGGAGATGCGTGCCACACAAGTATCTGAAACGAGTCCCTCCAGATCATATCATCTTCAAGGGGAGTTGAGACCTTGGACACAGTTACACAGGACCTGAAGACTATGATAATAGAAGTAAGAGATGTTGGTCGCAGCTCCACAAGAACCACAGCCCTCGACTTAGGCAAGTTCCTCCTCTTTTCCCTTGTTTGGATCCTGGATTGCAGAACATTCAAACATAGTACATCCCACGTCTCGAACAACTGTATGTGGGGAATGAGGCGTAGTTTGGTAGACGAATGGGGAATGAAATGTGAGTCGTTGAGGCGTAGTTTGGTAGACGAATGGGGAATGAAATGTGAGTAAACGACGCCACTAGTTCTGGAAAGCTACTGGAAAACTACGAATGACCCATGAAAGTAGAATAGGTAGAAAGAATTCTGCATATCCAAGATTGTTGTTACAAACTCTAATAATCCAAAGACATCGTCATCTCACATAACAACCATCAGAGAATAATTTACACACATAATAGGAGAGTAACGAGCAACACTCCGATTTCACCATCACTTGGAGACACAAGTAAAGAAGCCCAGCCAGAAAGAAGCCAACACTCAGAGGATTGGAATGATAGAGAAGCTGCAAGGAGTCCGACTGAAATGTTTCTTCGTCCTTCGTGCTGTGATCAATTTAAGACTTGCTTGAGAAAGGAATGGCTCTGATAACAACCTGGTGGTAGAGAGCAGCTAGGGCAGCTCCAATGAATGGTCCAACCCAGAAGATCCACTGCCACACACAACAAACAACAAATCAGAAATCAGAACATGAACACAAACGCCAATACGAACGGTTAAGGGCTGGTCTTTTATGGTTCTGTTTGTTGCTTACATGGTCATCCCAAGCATGGTCCTTGTTGTAGATGATTGCAGCTCCAAGACTCCTAGCCGGGTTAATGCCGGTTCCGGTAATGGGGATGGTGGCCAAGTGCACCAAGAACACTGCAAACCCGATTGGGAGAGGGGCCAAGATCTGCAACAGAAGCAGGAGATTATTAGGTAACAGCACCCTGCTTATCATTCATTTAATCCATTAGATGAAAAGATAGGTGAACGATACAAAACACTCTTCACATGGTTAAAGGCTAAAGCTATGCATTATCGAAAGGTATTTTGATAGATTAGCCAGTGTCTCCATCACTATTACCACCACCAAGAAGGTTTTGGGAAAGCGTAGGGACCAAAATTCACATCTTTCTCAGCCCCCATCGAAAACATCACATTCAAAGGTCCCTTCTACCCCAAATAATGTGCCGTCCAAAAGAGGCAACTCTGAACAAGTCACATGCACCATTGGCAAAAGCATCCTTTATCTTGTTTGCCTCAAGAAACGCTTCAATCCAAAGACATGGAGTCTCAAAGCATCATGAAAAACCAACTTGGCGAGACAGAAAACTATGCGTAACTTAGAATTATGGCCAGATAAAAACCAGATCTTGAAAGGGCAATCCAGTCCACAAGGGTTTAGCTCAAAATGCTATCTTAAAGAATCAAAACTTCACCCCTCCCAGAGTACTGAAAACCTTAAATTCCAAAGGTAACAAGATACAAAAGAATACAAACAAAAAGCAATTAAGGGCAGTTTAGTACTAAGTGGAAAAACAGAGGTAAGTAAGTGTATAACGTACAGGAACATGTGAGTCTCTGGCGTTTCTCTTGGCATCAGTAGCTGAGAAGACAGTGTAGACAAGGACAAAGGTACCAATAATCTCAGCACCGAGACCATCACCCTTGGTGTAGCCACCGGCCACCACGTTGGCGCCGCCACCATTGACCTCAAAGCTCTGTTTCCCTTCGAATCCCCTGATCACACCAGCACCACAGATGGCTCCGAGCGTCTGCATGATGATGTAGAACACCGCCCTTGTCAAGGACAGCTTCCTCGCCAAGAACAGCCCAAATGTCACTGCTGGGTTGATGTGTCCACCTGCGTTTTAACACAGATCTAGTCAGTATAGTCCTCAACAACATCATCTCTAGCAACACAAACCCATTTCCAAACGGATTCAACCACCAAACCCTAGCTAAAAAGTAAAAAACTTTGTTCTTTCTGGCAAGAAAACCATCAACCCAGAAAGAGATTTCCAAGTTTTGGGGGTTTTTTACCTGAGATACCAGCGGTGCAGTACACAAGGGCGAAGATCATACCACCAAAGGCCCAAGCGATACCCTGAATCCCCACAGTGGAGCACTTGGAGGGGGACTTGGAGACGCCCATGACGGTGAGGACAGTGATGTAGAGGAACAAGAAAGTGGCCATGAACTCAGCGATTCCAGCTCTGTAGAAGGACCATGAAGAGAGCTCACCGGGCTCAAACAATGGAGCTGGTGGTGGCTCCTTGTAGTCCTTGTCAGTTTGAGCAGAGGTACCAATGGGCTGCCTCTCTGAGAACTTGTTTGCTCCCAATCTGACATCTTCTTCCTTGCCCTCCATTGCTGCTCTCAAGAAGTTTTGAGCTTTGGAGTTCTCTCTCAAACAGAGAAATGGGGTGATGTTGTTGGGAAGGGGAGAGTGGGTAGTGGAGACTGTGTGAGAGAAAGGTTGAAGATAAGGGTGAGCTTTATAGAATGGTCCTTATTCTGTCTTGTTATTAATTGCTTGGGAATATGAAATTCATTTTAAATTGCTTTATTGTACTATATTATAATAATTTCACTTAAGAGCAATTTATAAATAAATTAAAACCTACTAATGTTTTTTACAGTTATGTTGTCGGTTTTTCCTTTTAACTACACTAGAACATTCATTGAAGTGTAGAATTTGGGGGGGAAATTGAAGAGAAAGAAAGGGTGATACTGATATGACATGATGGGGAAATGGAATGATTTTATTTCCCTTTCATGAGTCATTATGCAATGGATGCTTTGCTTTGAATTAAAGGATTAGTGTCATTATACAAAGCAAAACCTGAAGATAATTGTCATTATCAGCTCAATAATAGAAGTTAGAATTATGAAAAGTGAAATGTAAATGGTAGAAAGTAGAGATTTGGTTCAGTTGAGGATAGTGCTGGAATGACTAGAGGGAAGGAATGGGTGTAATGCAGCAGAGCTGACAGGTTGGTATTATGGTCTCCCCCAATTTGATTGTCATTATCCTTTTAGAAGCCTCTTCTATAATATTATTCCCTTGATTTTCTGTTGTTTTCTGTTCCGAGAAGCAATTAAAATAAACACAGTTATTCCTTTTGGGTGGCTGCTTAATTAATTGTTTATTCCTCTGCATATATATTATTAAGGGATGATTTGGGATGGTGAGCTGTCTGTAAATTGGGCCTGGCTCATCATCATCACCTAATTTCATCAATTCAATTACAACCACAAAACCATAGAGTGGAGGAATTTTATTATACCTTTGTTTGAACCTAACTGAGTGTAGGAGTGAGGTTCACTGTAATGGGTCAAGAAGAATGAACGGCTTGGTCGAACAAGAACTATGAGACAAATGAGAGGAAAGAAAGGGTTGAGAGTCTTTATTTTAGTGAGATAAAATGACGATCTTAGAGGTAGAGTCTCCAAAATCCGACCCCCTCACCCACCGGAGTAAATGCCATATTTATAGGCTACATGGTGGTGGGTGAGGTACACAACGGTACAATGATGTGACTACCATGGCAGGGCGACATGACCTCTGACACGTCATGGACCAATACCATATCCCTAGGGACGACAAGACCCTTAGCCATGACTATACCTAGGACTATGATGTTGACTACTCTAGGACTATGATGGTGACTACCCTTCGGGTGACGCGGCGCCGCTATTACACTTCTCGTTGGGGGCCGTTTGGAGCTTACGCGCGAGCTTTCCAGGCCATTCTCCGTACTCGCGCGCCGGCTTTGGCGCGGTCGTCTTTGGCGCGATCATCCTTAGGTATTTCCGAGTCACATCCCCAACAATTGCCCCCCATCAGGGGGTATTCCGCGAATGCCACCTGTTTGATCTTCTTCCGAGTGACTCGGACTTGCGCGACTCCGCCAGATGATTATGATCAACGCGACACGGTTACGTTGGCGTTTGCTATGGTCTTCGCGTGATCGTCGGTGGCGTGTATAACTGGTGTTTCCTTCGCCCGAGATCTCTGGGATTGGTTGTGCGCGACATCTTCGCGTTGCCCCCCATCGGTTGTGTTCCGTGAGTGTCCGAGATTTGCTGGGTTGGTTGCGGGTGAGCTTCTGGTTTCGCGTTGCCCCCCTGTGGTAATGTTCCGCGAGTTCTCTGGGTTGGTTGTGCGCGACGCCTTTCTTAGTTGGTATTATTTTTGGGCGTGTTTTTTTCCTTTGTGGGCGTACCCTGCCCCCCAGGCGCTGTGCGGAAAGCATGACGTCAGCGTCTAGTGCCTAGGGGTTGTAGGTTGCCACGTGTCCGGGTGCGGTTGGTCGATTTTGGCGGCCGTTTTGGCGGCCGTTTTGAAATTTGAAAAGGCACTGACGGTTGCGATTCTCGAGGTAACTTTAACCCTTCGTCTTTCCATTGTCGAGTATAAATACCCCCTCTCTGCCCAGAAGTCGTACTCACTCTGCTTTCGTAAAGGGAAAATTCCGTCTGTTTCTTGTGCTTTCTTACTGTCTCTGGGATTCTTCTCCTTCTTCTACAACCTCGACTCTTTTCTTGCTGTTGCTAATTCGGAGTATCGCAATGGATAGCACCAACATTCACGAGACCGAGGTCGTGCAGGGCGAAGAAGGTAATCCCTCTTCTTTTTCACGTGTTTCTACTGATCCCTCGCTGGATCTGGATGATTCCGGGCATGGGGACGGCGGCGGAGCCGACGGTGGTGATGTGGTTTCGACGGCGTCGCCGTCGCTCGAAGTTGATGATGACTGGGGGCCCGACGAGGGGATCATTGCGTCCGGGAGTGGTCAGTCCAGAGCCGGTGCGCGGGGTGTCTTGATTGTTCGGCGGCCCCGCGGCGGCGCATCTGGGATGGGTGACTCGGAGAGACGCGAAGGGTCTGACACTCAGTCAGAACCGCAATGTACCGCGCGTATTACGGAAGCGATGAGCCGCTTGGGCTTCCGAGGTGTGGGCGCGGCGTATACCGTGATTGACTGGGCCGAGATGTGGGGTGATCAACCCGCGCCCAGTGACAACCTTCTTAGGGGGCCTGATCACGCGTCCATTTACGGGTATCAGGACGTGCTGAGAATAGTGCGTGGGTTAGGCTTGCCCCCCCATTGGCAGTACGCGGTCCCGCCCGCGCGAAGTATGGTTGGGAACTGTCCCGCGGGATGGTTTGGGGTATATACCGAGTATTGGGTGATGGGGTTCAAATTCCCCATCGACCCCTTGCTCTGCGCTCTGTACCGGCGTCTCAATTGTTCAGTTGGGCGCCTCTCTCCGTCAGTGATAATGCACGCGAGCTGCCTCCGTCTCGCGTGCAAGAGGCTTAAGATCGAGCCGACCTACGGCTTGTTTCGTAAGTTTTATAAGATAAAGGATCCTACGAGGAGGAGCGATTGCCTTTCTATCAAGCGGCACGACAAGAGACCTGACGGTTTCGTGTATGGGTCTCCCAAGTTGAAAAAGACTTGGTTTGAGCGGTTCTTTTATGTTAAACCGACTCCCGGGGAGTGGGCGAGCGAATTTGTGGCGGAGCCGACGGAGTGGAAGAAGGGCGGCACGCATGGGTATGAGTCAGACCTGGGGCATTACGCTGAGCTCGATGATGAGTACGAAGCGTGCATGCACCAGAAGTTCAACTTATACGATGGCGGAGTCCGCGAAGCTTGTTTAGAAGAGCTTTTTGCCGATGGTTAGTTGTGCTTCTTTCGTTTTGCATTCTATCTTATTAACCGCCCTCTTACGGCTTATTGGCGCAGGTGTTGATTTTTCCAGCCTGGCTAGTATGATGTCGGTTGATGACATTGTGAAGGCGCCGCGCGCTGGAAAGAGGAAAGGGAAAGAGGGTGCGCGGGACAAGAGCGCGAAGAGGAAGGAGGTTGATCAGCCAATGGTTGCAGAGAAGCCTGTGAAGGCTGCTCGCGTGGTTGAACCGACTGGGCGGACGCCGCGCCAACAGCCGCTTGTGATTGTTGAACCCACGGTACCCGTGGACAGGAGCGCTCGGACGGCAGGTGGCGCGGCTGGTGGTTCGTCTGGGGCTACGGTTCAGCAGAAGTTGCCCCAGATGGCTGGTGGCGCGATCGACTACTTCCGCGATCTGCGGATCCACACGGGGGCGGCGTGTAACGTTGCGGCCGCGAACAACGCCCTCCGGGTGCTGGGACCCATTCTGAGTGTCCCGACGCGGCTGGAGAAGTCGGATCCGCTTCAAGACCTTGCGCAAGTGCATTTCGCGGTAAGATTGGTTTGGCTGCAGGAGTTGTTCCTCTACTCTTCTTTTTATTTGTACTAAGTCCTGTGGCGTTGTGGGTATAGGGTTTGCTGGCCACCTTCCGCGCTCAACAGGAGCGGAGCCGGGAGCGCGCGAAGATGAAGGCTGAAGAATCGAAGATTGTGCAGCTTGAAGGGAAGCTGACTGGAGCTGAGGGTCGCGCGGAGTTGGCTACCAACAAGGCCAACGATGCTTTGGAGCAGCTGGGCGTTTTGCAAAGCCGGCTGGAAGAGCAATTGGAGGCAGTGCGGACTCGGGTCCGAGGGGAGTTGCGGGAGGAATTTGAGGGGGAAAAGAAACGTTTGGCGGAGGAGTGGGAGCGGGAGAAGAGCCAATTAGAGAAGGATCATGCTGAAAAGATGAAGCAGGCTTTGGAAGATTTTGAGAAGGAGAAGAGGGATTTGGTTCGGCTTCATGATGTGGCCAAATCGGAAGTTGTACGTGAAGCGCAGATCGCGGCAGTTCGCCAGTACAAATCTTCATCCTCCTTTGGAAAGATACTGGCAGATGCGATGACCAAAGCGGTTATCGCAGTTGGTAAGAAGGTGCGGCCGGAGGTTCCAAGCTACCGGTGGAACAGTCGCAACATGGTGCAGCATGTGCAACTTTGGCTGCGTGAGAAGAGATCACTGGAGTTGGATTCTGAGGATGATGAGGAAGAGGATGATGAGGAAGAGGAGGAGGAAGGCGGGGATGAGGAGGGTGACGGCAGTGAGGCGCGTAAGGAAGATGCCGCTGCCGCGGAGGAGAAGGGAGATGCGGGCGCTGACACGGACGTCACTCCCGCTGCTACTACTGCTAAGAAGTCTTCCTCTTAGGTTTCAAGTGTAAAAGCGCTGTTTTGTGCTTGTCTGTGTGCGCTTTTTTTTTATATATAATGGAAATCCAAGATACTTCTATTTTGTTCATGTGTTGGCCCGCATACCTTTTGGATATTGCCTTTTAGCGTGAATGACCGTGGCGCGATTGACTCTCAGTCATTGTTATTGTTACTTCTTTCGAACTGTGAGGGCGCAGATAACTCGTAGTTATTGCTAGGTTTCGTTCTTTCGAACTGAGTGGGACGCGAATAACTCGTAGTTATTGCTATTTCCTGTTCTTTCGAACTGTAAGGGCGCAAATGACTCGTAGTCATTGCTATTTTCTGTTCTTTCGAACTGTAAGGGCGCAGATGACTCGTAGTCATTGCTATTTTTTGCTCTTTCGAACTATGAGGGCGCGAATAACTCGTAGTTATTGCTACTTTGTGTTCTTTCGAACTGTGAAAGTGCGAGCAAATGGAAAGTCATAAGTGTTATTGCTGATCT